TTTGGATTACAAAATATATACACAAAATATATGCATGTACTATACATTTGTATATTCTCACTTGGATTACAAAATATTCTCACTTGGATTACAAAATATATACATGTATATATTCTCACTTGGATTACAAACCCTAACATTCTAATATTAATTCCACCAAGTGAAGTGCAAGAATCGAAATTATTATTTTCAAATGCCCCGCCGGGGCTAAGGTTCGAGTGGAAATACCCAACCCCCGGCCCCCGTGATGTGCTTTACAGGAAAATGGCTGGGCGTGGGGGATGGGCACACTTGGATTTGGCTGATGCATTAAAAGTCATGGAAAAAGAAAAAACTTTTCATATTGCTACTATAAAATGGCTTATTGTGCTTATTCCTGTGCTTATTCCAGAGTGCTTGTCAAATATTTACTTGCTAGAAGTAGAAATTTACTCTGACCACCGGATGAAGAAGATATTAAATAAGTGCTGGTCAATAAACAGAAATGTATTTTATTTCATAGTATTACAATTTTATTTTTATACTATAAAAATAAAATATAAACATGCGGCATAGAATATGCAAATTCGAGGCAAAATTATTGTTGAATCTGTTTATTTATAGGATTTATAACAAATAGCAACTATAAAAGTTTGTACCTTCACATCGCTTTATTCTGTTAGCCAATGCTTTTAAATTTACATATTTTAGAATCAGTTCCTTTCCTGGTAACTGCATTTCTAAATGAAATCATCGTGAGTAGTGAGTGCTGAGCAGGCCGTTTTACTATAAACAAATTTTAGGAATTGATAACAACTTTGAAAAATATATCGTTGCACATTCGGTCACAGTCGGAAAAATGTTTGTACCGTCGCTTGCAACTAACGATGAACAGTTGCTCATAAAAACATTCGCGTGATTAGAATCTTCAATGTTTGTCAAGAACAACAACACTTAATTGTTGTTTCCCATGTGTACAATAATAAGTGACAAAACTTTGTGTGGTCTGAACGTGTTGGGCTAGAGACCTACTGGAAACCTTTACAGGCTTTTTAATGAGAATAGAGAATGTTTTATCTGCAACTGTTCACCTTTAGTTGCAACCGACGGTATTTGACAGCATAAAATTGCCTGTGGCTGTGATAACTGATATAAATAAAATACAGTCTGGTTATACTGACTTGAGCGTGTCATGACAAACTCTTTATTGGAAAATTGTGAAGAAATAGTCGAATATAGAGGGTCGAATATCATACTTCAACTTGTATATATAGCTACAGTATCATTGGTACATAGCGTTGTGAAGACAAGCCTTTGCTTACCTTTCGCTTCAGCAGTCTTTTTTTCCATGCTTCTCTGCGCTTTCCCAGGCGAGCTTCTCTTTCCTCAGCAGTCTCCTCGAGCAAACGTTGTCGTCTTCGCTAGCTCCCTCCTTTTCGCTAGACGTTCGGCTTTCTTGTCGTTTCCTTGCCGCTCTTCATTTGGCTCCATACAGTAGTCCATATCTTTTCAATTGGTATTTGATACCGTAATTGTTTTATTAAACTTTTTATACAACAAATTGCTTTGAAAGCTGTCAAAGTTTTTTGCAAACGTACAAAATACTGTAGTGCAAAAAGCAAATTATTTTCATGAAGTATCTGTCAGTTGAAGTCGTCATTTGTCATACAACAACAAATTATAAATTTGACCAATCAATGTTCGCTATCCATGACAGTCCGCCATATTTTTGAGATCAGTGAGGATGACCACCCATCGTTGGTCACCCACGCCCGCGATATTTGATGAACTTTAGACTTGGCTAATGCTTTCGTTTCCCCGGGTGTAAATAGCCGGGGGGAATTAGTACCCTCGCACGGCGCTTCGCGCCTCCGGCTCGGGGATAATAAACTTAGCTTTGTTGATTAAACTTGTCGTCCAGCAAGATCTTGTAGGTCGCCTGGCTTCTTTATTATTATTGGGCGTGAATCTTCAGCTTTTCGCAGATAGATGGTTGAGTTCTTAATCCAGCAGAATTATACGCATACTGTTGTTGGAATTTCTTTGCTTCCATTAAGAGCTTTTGCACTTTTGGAGTGAGGTGATCATAGACTCTGGCATTTAATATTGAAGCATCCGATGGCAGACCAAGGACTGTCGGTTCAATTTTGCTAGCGTCTTGTCTGTGGATCATAATTTGTTCTTTCATACATCTTCTCGTAAATTTACAAATTATGGGCTTATGATAAGCTGGATTTCTAGATGGGACTCTATGTGCAATATCAATGTCTTGTGAAGTAATATCCACACCCATTTTTTGAAATAATTTAATACAGAGATTAGAAGTTTCTTGTGCTGATTCTTTTGATTTCAACTCTGGTATTGCGATGATCATTACGTTGTATTGATAACTATAGCGTTCAATATTATTAATCGCTTCGCCAATTTCGTCTACTCTGGTTGTCAGGTTATCGAGCTTCTTGTTTAGTTGAACAAACTCGTTTTTGGCTTCGCGACGAAAGCTTGATAACTCATCATAGACATTGCTTAAAAAATCGAGACTTTTACTCGTTTCTTTGATATGCTTAAATGGACATCTTTTGTGTCGTTGGATTAAGCAATACGTCGCTCCAAAGTGGCTTCAAGATTCTTAAACTCCTTTCTCAGCATATTCACTTGTGTCTTGAGCTCTTCATTTTCTAACTTTAGCGATTTAACTGTATCAGGCATGATACAAATTATACTTGGGTATTAAACATCCAATATTTCAGTTCGTATTTGTAAAATTTATTTGTATATACATAGTAAATACGGAGCTCAAAAATGCACGTCTGAACTCTACAAGTTGTCAACTTCTATCGAACGTGAACGCTACGTGTACATACCAAGAGTTTTAAAAACCTTTCACGTCATGCTTCTTGCGAAAGCAACCGTTCGTAAGCTCTCGCAAGCGTTTTGAGCAAAAACTCTAAAATATTGGCAGTATTACCTGAAAATACAATAGCAGAATCTACTAAATTATCGCACAACATCGGAATTTTACCCCCAATATCTATTTCTTCATCAAAACTTGACTACAAAACAGCCAAAACTTCCAGCTCAGTTTTCCCGCCATATTTATCCTTGCTATAAGACAACGTCGCCACAGTAACCACAACAAACTCGTTACCAGTTCATTGCATCACACATCGATCGGCGCGCCTATAGCCGTTTCATTCACCGCCCTATATATAAGCGGGTTATTATAGCGGGCAAAATTTGCTTGCGGGAAAAATTTAATGGGCGATGCCTGCCAAAACCCGACGTGTGACCATCTATGTAACCCTTGTACACCGGCTATGTTACCCCCCCCCTCCCCCCTCCTCGGGAATACTTTGTCTATGTCAAGACTACTGGAAAATGTCAAAAGTTGTGTTACCCCAACTCGCATAGGATACACGATGTCTTTATATTCAAACGTAATAAGAAATTAATATTGATCAAGATTTTCATTTTTATGGCGCAAAATGTTACAAATGTAAATGAAACATTGATTATTTTGCACCTACAACGGATGACCGGAATTTACCGAAATCCAGATGAATTTTTGCGAATTTTAGTCAGTAGCCTACAATCATGCATATCACAGCTAGCAAACATTAATACTTTTGGGAAACGCAATACTCTGGAAGGCAGATAGCATGCTTGGCAGGGGCTCTATGCTTGAAATGGAGTCTGCTACTGAAGTCAATAAAAAGTGGATTTATGCGTCCGAATCGAACGCTAAATTCCCATTGGTCAGAAATAAATTGCCTTGCCTTTTAAGGTAGTATGAAGTTGTTGTTTACGTAATACGATGTTCCGTACTTGGAATTGTACTTTTGGCCGCATTAATTAATTACTGCTTATGCTGTCTATAAACACGGTTGATAAACATTATTATTATTTAGTATTTGTTATGTAATTCCTGGAATTCCGTAATTCCTGGAATTCCTTAATAGAATTAAATTGGAATATTTGTTTTGGAGATATTGACGGAAAAATTGGCCGTTATTGTCATATTTTAAATTAGCTTTGATAATCTACTTAACAGATTCTGTTTTGATTGGTCGTAATTTCCGTGCTTTTAAAGACAAAGTCATACAATTTAGCCTATGTTGTTGACGTTTATACTAGATGCTACACTCAAGATTATCCGACATTACTGCTTAGTATTAACCAGCTTGCCATCAAGCTGACTAATATTTTAAACAGCCATGCATCTAAAAATTTCAAGTGTAAAAAAAGGAAAAATTTCAGTAAAGACAAATAGTCTGGATGTTGTAACCTCGAAAAGTGTCTAGAAAACGTTCATTAAATTAAACGTTTATTGAAGAAAATTTTCATTAAACATTGGATGTCTTAGATCTGAAATATTTTTACGGGAACTAACACTTTCGAACACGTTGAGTTCAAATCCGAAAAGTTCCCACTCCGTAGACCCGCAGTTTTCTCGCAAGCTGCTATATTTTATCTTCAATAATAATTTCACGACAAATGTTTCATTGTTCAACGACACGGATCGATGACGATACACGTTTATGTCACTCAAAAGGACCAATTTCTATTAACCATTCTTCCTTTAAACAAAAGACCGGTTTTGCTAGAATCATTAATTGAGTTATGCAATCTTATGCATGTTGGACGTAAACAACATATCTTGTCTCATAACTTTGAGAAGGTACAGATAATCCCTTCTAATATCCTTAGTTCTGGATTTATCTCTATAAAATTACAAGGACATTAATGCTAAGTCTTTGAACTATGTCTCTGGGCTGAGAAATAATTGCTTACATGCGATCAAAATGTTTTATACAACGACGTAAAACGGTAATCTATATATGTAATGGATCAGCATTTAATTAGTTCCAACACAGTTTCTGAGATGTAATTCAAGGGATTGCATTTGAACTATTACATCAGTTGGTGTTATACTGTGCGATAAGTGACTATTATTGGAAAGATGGCTTCCATATATACGTTTGAAATCACCAAATAAACAGCTCATGCACAGATTATTATACACTTCGTCGTAAGTTTATAGAGCATATATTATACTTCGGGACTGATCTTTGTCTTTGATGTGAACATTTATACTTATAATTTAAGGTTATTTGAGATTGATCCTGTCGTAAGTGCTCTACCAGCAACCAATCAACAATATTTCATTTTAGCGTTGTCTTTGCCGTTACGTTGGCTTTGCGTTACTTTTGTTTTAAATACGTACCTTGATCGCGTCAAAAGGCTAGTTATTTTTCAGGCCAGTGACATAGCCGAAAGACTTCCCATTAACGTCCTTATGATTTTATATCTCTATAACTGAGAATTCCGAGATATCTCTAGAACTGAGGATTTTGGAAAGCGTTATCTGTATGTACGTACCTTCTCAAAGTTGTAGGCAAGATATGTTGTTTACGTTCAACACGCATGAGATTACATAACACAAAATGATTCCAGCAAAACCGGTCTTTTGTTAAAAGTAAGACCATGGTTTCATTAAGCATGTCTTAGATCTGAAATATTTCGACGGGAACTAACACTTTCAAGCACGCTGAGTTCAAATCCGAAAAGTTCCCACTCTCCGAAAAGTTCCCAATTTCACGACAAATTTTCATTGTTCATCGACACGGATCGATTACGACACACAATTACTGTATGTCACTCAAAAGGACGAATTTCTATTAATGAAAGTGAACGAATCGGGTTACAAAACACGGACTACCAGTCTTGACACCATCAGAAGAGATTCACCTCCATGTTAATAATAACCTAATGTTAAGCCATTGTTACACAATTAAGCCAGCCATGCAATTATACGCAGTAACAGCTGCAACTTGCAATGTAACTTCTGATATGAAGCCATGTTATTTATAAAATAGGTCACAGGGAAATTGTGAAAATATACTAACGAAAGTGAAACGAGGACGGCTAATAATACCGGGCCATTTTAACTA